CGTTGTAAAAAATAGAACTATCTTGGTATAAATTAGAGCTAACGTGGTATAAATTAGATATAACGTGGTATAAATTAGGTTTATAACGTGATATAAAATAGAACTAACTTGGTATAAATTAGTAAATTAGATCATCACACGCTACAGAATAGAACTAACACTGTGCAGAATGAGATATAACGTGGTATAAATTAGGTTTATAACTTGGTATAAAATAGAACTAACACAAATTAGATATAACGTGGTATAAATTAGATATAACATGGTATAAATTAGGTTTATAACGTGATATAAAATAGAACTAACTTGGTATAAATTAGTAAATTAGATCTAACGTGGTATAAATGAGATATAACGTGGTATAAATTAGGTTTATAACTTGGTATAAAATAGAACTAACACAAATTAGATATAACGTGGTATAAATTAGATATAACGTGTAATAAAATAGAACTAATAAGCCATCACACGCTACAGAATAGAACTAACACTGTGCAGAATAGAACTAACACTCTACAGATTAGAACTAACACTGTGCAGATTAGAACTAACACTCTACAGAACAGAAATAACTTGGTATAAATTAGAACTAACTTGGTATAAAATGAGAACAAACTTGGTATAAAATAGAACTAACTTTGTATAAATTAGATCTAACATTGTATAAAATAGAACTAACTTGGTATAAATTAGGTTTATAACGTTGTAAAAAATAGAACTATCTTGGTATAAATTAGAGCTAACGTGGTATAAATTAGATATAACGTGATATAAATTAGGTTTATAACTTGGTATAAAATAGAACTAACTTGGTATAAATTAGTAAATTAGATCTAACGTGGTATAAATGAGATATAACGTGGTATAAATTAGGTTTATAACTTAGTATAAAATAGAACTAACACAAATTAGATATAACGTGGTATAAATTAGATATAACGTGGTATAAAATAGAACTAACAAGCCATCACATGCTACAGAATAGAACTAACACTATGCAGATTAGAACTAACACTCTACAGAATAGAACTAACACTGTGCAGATTAGAACTAACACTCTACAGAATAGAACTAATACTGTGCAGATTAGAACTAACACTCTACAGAACAGAACTAACACTCTACAGAATAGAACTAACATGTTATAATATATAACTAAAAGGGTGCAGATTGGAACTAACACAACATTAGTTATGCTAATATATAAGAACTAACACGGTTCTCTGTATTTGGGTTAAGATTTGTAACAAACTGTTTTCTGGATAAGCAAAATTTAACAAGAACTAACACGCAATGTTGCCAAGTCTTCATTTGTTGCTGCCCTCGCTGGATCGGTTTGGGTCTAATAAACCCTTTTCACTATCACTCGCCTTCCTTTTCGAAGGTCCTGGCTTACTGCGCTTTGAGGAAGGAGAACTGGATTCCGCTGAGCCACTGTGGGAGACGACGGGGTTTAAAGGGAGAGGAACATTGCCGGTAGGGAGAGACCTTGGAGAATTGGCACCCCCGACCCCTTGGTTACGGAGAAACAACTGCCATTGGTCTCTCTCTACCGTCATGTGGACGCCACCCCAACTAACCTCAATTAACTCAGGGTCGGTCCTAAAGGGCTGCGCACGCTGGGTCCCTAAGTTGAGTCGTGTGGATACCTGAGCCCTCTCCAAATTCCCCCCGCATTGGACCTGCGTGATGGCGTATCCTTCCCTGGCGTTACCGTCCACCGGCGGATGTAACGGAACCCAAGCCTCTTAGGGATTTCAGATAAATCCCTAACCTTGAGTATAACTCTACAGTCTTTGAAGTTAGAATGTGTTATGACGTCCCTGGAGCACATTACACATTCACCGATACCAATGAGCAGAGATTGAAGAAATTCAAAATTCCAGATGTGGTATGGGAGATTGAATAGGCGAATCCATACTAGAAAGGGTTGAGGCAACGTTGTTAGCCTCAGATCCTCTTTCCAACGGTGGAATCTGCCCTTAAATGTGCCCATATCTATCAAACCGAGTTCAATAGCTTGGGCAAGAACTTCATCGGATGGAAACTGCACCATGAAGCTGTTCCCTGCCGCCTCCTTGATTTGATGGGGCCATATCCTAAGATTGAAGCGGTAGGCCAGCATCTCTCGGAGCTCCTGCACAGATGGACGACCTCTATCAAGATTGAAGATGGCGTAAGAAGAAAGATGCCGTATGGTGCTAGAGGTGTTGGGCGGGACGGTAAGCATCATCGGAGGGGCACGAGCGGTAATTCCATGATGACAATCTTGAGAGCTATGTCCTGTCCCATGACAGTGTACACAAGAAGGATCCCCAGCCATTTGTGAGGGTATACGATGAAAATAGATGACGCTGGGTTGCGGTTTTTAGCAGGGGGAGGGGTTTGCAGAGGCGCCTACGCTGGGACCAGTAGAAGAAAGAAAGGTGGTGACCGTACAATCGATGGAAGTTCGTATTAGGTATTTAAATTAATTAATTTATTTAACTGACTTGAGAACACGCGAATATATGATGTGATATGTTAGTGTGATGGAACCGTCGCTTCGAAAGAAGTGAGCAGTTGGAGGTCTGAAGATAACTTAAATAATTAAAAATTTAGAACTGGCTATGAGATAGAACTAACGAGCATGGTACAGAATAGAACTAACGTTGTATGAGTTAGAACTAACGAGCATCACTAGAACGAACATGGTACAGATAGAACAATACATCCGATAACAGTCATTTTCAATTACTTAAATATACATACATTATTGTATTTGAATGAACATATCATTCATCACTGTACACTGTTTCTTCTTTATGTCTTTGTTCAAAACCAGCCAGTAATAATTGTGCACCAAGTCTTGCTCGCATAGCTTCAGGGATATCGTTCGGAGGATTTACCAGCAATGTTGATCGTCCTTCAATTATGGATTTTATAAAGAGGTAGACGAACACACCACAGTCAAAGCTGCAACATAGAATGAGTTCATTAGACATTTTCGTTCCGTTCTAATACTATAACACAAATTAACACAATATAGACATCGGAACTAACCGTCCTCTTTGTTGCTCGCATTTGATGGCTTGATATCTAAATATTTTGCGCACATTGTCTTCAATAAAATCAGCATGATGGGCATCAAAGAATTTTATGATTTTATTAACAGGCTCCATCCAAGCTTCGTGCCCAGCGGAGCTGTAATGCTTGACGACTTTATCTTTAAGGTCAACTTCTACAAGATGCCAATGGTCGTCCCTGACCAAAGGGATCAAGAGATGCTCTATGCGGTATGCGGTATATTTGTCAATGAAGTTCAGATAATGCTCGTAATTGTTCACCTCCAAGCCATAGAGTGAGTGCTGCAAACACATCATGTTTGAGTTGAAATTAAAACAAACATGAGCTGCGAAGGCTAACTAACACCGTATTAATTAGAACTAACACGCTACAGAATAGAACTAACACTATATCAATTAGAATTAACACGCTACAGAATAGAACTAACATGGTACAAAATAGAACTAACATTGTATAGATTAGAACTAACACGGTGTAAAATAGAACTAACATGAACTGCGATAGAACTAACATGACTTATGGTAAGTCTAAATTGATGCTAACTAGAACTAACGTGACTCATGGTATAACTAGCATGGATTACACAAGATCTAACATGAATTTCAATCAAAACTAACGTGGTGAAATTAGGAATAGCATGTTCTTACAAGAAAGAACACCGATACCACTCCATATCCTTTGCCGTATGCCTCCTGGCTAATCGTGTCCAAAACTGCTTCTTCCACCTGTAATTGTTATGAAACATTAAAATTCAATTTAAACAATATAATTTGAATTATTAAGGAAGTATATGTTAACCTTGTCGTCAAGGCGGCCACCACGAAGTACATATAACAACTCTTCCCTGTTAATACTGCTGTTGGTTGTTACTATAACATTATATCTCCTGGTATAAATTAGAAGTAACATGAATTAAAACTAATATGTGGAGAATTAGCATATAAATAGTCAACTGAAACTTACCTGTGAATCTTCTGAGAATAAAATTTGATTAGGCTCTCAATTTGAGCTTTGTCGAGTCTTTCTGCTACGGGAGATGTTATCTTTAAATTATGTACAAAAGCACCTGTGCTATCTATTATGCGTAAGTTAAACAATGTAGGGTCTGGAAGCTCATTATTCAGCTCTCCCAATAGAGCTTCCTCTTCATCTGTCATTGGCTTGAAACTCAACGCATCAAAAGTGGGGATTTGATTACTGGGGTAAAAATGAGTAACTTTTTCAGCTAGTTTTACTTTTGATTCAGGACTTTCAAGTATATCTATACTAATTTTTTCCTTTTTCTTTCTTTTGCCTTCAGTATATGGTGTCCTCTTCCATTTAGATCTCCTGCTTACCCTTCTTGGCTGTGGTCTACGCTTTGCTTCCACATTGCTCGTTAGAACATCTACAAGTTTGTCCACATCATGTTTAATATTCACAAGATCCTCTTCCTCCTGTGCTTCCAACTTATATACATTCTCCTTCTTTTTATCTACAATATCTTCCTCCTTATCTACACCATCAACAATATCCTCATCAAAACCTTTGTTATCTACAATAAAATTTTCATTTTCCATATGCTCATCTTCCTTATCTACCATATGCTCATCTTCCTTATCAACAATATCTTCCATATGCTCCTCTTCCTTATCTATCATATGCTCCTCTTCCATATCTACAATATGTTCCATATGCTCCTCTTCCTTATTTACACTATCCTCAACATGCTCCTCTTCCTTATTTACACTATCATCAACCTTAGTATCTACAGTCTGGTCAACCTTACTATATACCCCCTCCCCTGGAGAAGTAACTGGCTCCTCTTCTATTGCCTCATCGTCAGCAAGATGCTTTACATCCTCTTCAACAATCTTATGTACATGTTCTTGCATGGTGGGCTCTTCCTTATATACACTGCTTGTTTTGGACTTCTGTTCGTCTTGAGCTCCCCGTCACTTCTTCCTAATTTCATTTGTAATTTTCTGTTTGATATTTGACTTAAGGAGAACCGAGTCTATAACCTCATCATGTCTTCCACATTTTTCAATTATCCTGTTAAGCTTGTTGATCTCAATCATGAATTCTTTACAATATTTGCTCTTGGTCTGCTTTGTAGCAACAAGAAGTCGTTTGAGAAATTTAGCAGAATTTCTCCAAAATGTGAGTTGCTGCTCAATAGGAAGAACATTGATCTCCTCTTCATCGTCAAAAGCAACGTCAATATGCTTTGCCATGATCTGTTATTGATACAAGATTATAATTTTAAGTAGGATTAAACATAATTAGGATATTCTTTGCAGTTAGTGTGAAATGAGTACGACTTAACATAACAGGATACTTACGTAACCTATTGAGAAGTTCTTAGTAGTTTCTTCCTGCAAAGCCTTCCTCTTTGCCTGACGCTTTTGCTGAAGAACTTCACCCCTCTGTACAGCGGGACCTTCATCCCTCTGTTCAGCGGGAAGTGAATGAACATGACCAGGAGAAGCGACCTCCGCAATAGGCCTATGGACAAATGTTATTGACGCTGACTTAGCCTTTGAAATAATTGTCGGCATCCTCATAGATGCGATTCTCTCCTCCCCTGATGCCCAATTTGTCATTGGAGGTCTGGAGGTGTCTAAGAGGGCATTTTGTAGAGTGTTAGTTCTAATCTGCACAGTGTTAGTTCTATTCTGTAGAGTGTTAGTTCTATTCTGCAGCGTGTTAGTTCTAATCTGTCTGTAGCGTGTTAGTTCTAATCTGCAGATTAGAACTAACACTCTACAGAACAGAACTAACACTGTGCAGATTAGAACTAACACGCTACAGAATAGAACTAACATAGAATAAGTTAGAACTAACAATGCATATGTACGAATTAGAATGAAACAAGATAAGTAAAATATGGAACTTACACACAATAGTATCATGCAACCTGGGACATATGCGACCTTTTGCTTCTTCTTTCCCTCCAAAGCAACTCCAATGCCCCTGATAATTTCATTATAAAAGAATGGGGCCCATGCAACAGAATTGACCCTCTGAATGCTATCCAGGTACCTGAGTAAGGGTCTAGGGATACCTTTCCCTGCTATGGGACTCCATATCATAGAGCATTGGTACAAAGTTTATAGCAGAGCAAAATCCTCGATATCCCGCTTTTTGGTAGATTCAACAAGCCGTTCAAGTAGCCCTTCAAGATATTTACGTTGGCTGGTTTCTGATATTTTTAACTTCTTACCCTCTTCAGAAATGAAAAGCTTAGCGAAGTATTCCAACCATATTCTGCTTCTTGAGTCCCTATTGTTCCTTATGTCCTCCCCATAAATTGGGAAATAAGTATGGTTGTGGACCCATTGCAAATCAAAACTAACATTTTTCATACCCCCACTTTTTGAATCAGGTATACAAAAGGTGTTATTATCTCTATCGAAAAAGCTCAGCAGCAGCTCAAGGGTGGGCCGATCAGCCGCAGGAGCCCCAAACAAAATGTAGTGCTGAAATATAGAACCGCAGTATGCATCCCTATGCCACTGACGGATCTTCGGGGCAAGGCGCTTCATAAATGCCCAATAAGCCCCGATATTGGCCGTTAACCTTAGTGTTTCTGCTGAGCCTGTTAGAGCAATTTTTTCCCTGCAAAAAATTTTCGAATTTGTAAGTTCAATAAGACATATGAAACAATATTAGACCTAGCACTAACGGGAACAAAATAGAGCTAACACGTAATATTATAGAACTAACATTGGACTCATATTAGAACTAACATTGGACTTAAACTAGATCTAACGTTGGTATAAATTTAGAACTAACATTGGACAAAGCCTAGAACTAACAATATTGGGTTAATCTGCATTGTCTGTTCGCAGTATAACATAACACTTACTGTTTTTTTGAGGGGGGTTCGTTGGTACGACCAGCCATTGTCGTCCTCCTTTTCTGGTCTCGCCATTGTAATGCCTCCTTTTGCATTTCGATTAGGGTTTTCGTAGCTTCCGTAGCTTCCTCCGTGCTGCCACCCGCAGATGAAGCGCCTTTTCCTTCCAACTCGGCTCGGTGCCCGACCTCGTAGTCGTTACTGGATTTTTCCGTAGACGACGACATTTTTCCGGCGAAAACCCTAGAAACGTTGAAATTCGTACAGAAATTAGGAAGATGAAGAGTTCTTGATGACGGTGCTAGGTGGAAGAGAGAGAAAGAGAGAGAGAGTACTTGTAAAGGTGAGGGGCACATTAACCCAGCTCAGTCCCATCAGAGGGCAAGATAGTAACTTCCGCTGGGCTTTTTCTGAAAAGAGTCAATTCGGGGCCTCGTCGCAAATACTATGCGTATTTGGGGCTATTCCACATGTGGCAAAATACAGGGGGGCTAGTCACACGAAGTTCCCACTTTTGGGGCCTGGACACATTTTTCCCAAAATAAAAACTAAAACAGTCATTTTGAAGGTTTGGAAATTTTGCACATTGTACGAAATTATAAAAACTCATGAAGCTTTCTGATACAACAAAATAGAAAATATTTTCGAGAGATAAAAAGAGATAGAACCATGCAGAGGAGCATTATTCAATGGTATTTAAAGACAAACTAATTAATAGGTAAGAATTTTTCAAACATTATTGGTAGCAAAGGATGTAGTTTTCATTCCTTTTTTGGGAAGGGAACGAATGCTATAAGTGACAATGGACCATTAAAGTACTAAAGTAGTTATATTAAGATTTTTTGGGTTATTAGTAGACGTAGGAGAAATGGATCCATGTTCATAATGGTCAAAGCTCAGAAACAAGAAGGGAAAAAAAAGGATAAAGAAGACAAATAATAAAATTAATGACTTCCCACTCAAAACAATGCAGATAAAGCAATTACAAGGAGGTTTAAGTTTCCAATAATATTGATATCTTTAAAATTTTCGACTTTTTATTTCTTTATATATATACTTTTGTGTGAATGTGTTAGGTCAAACAAGGAGGGTAAATCTCCAAATTATTCTTCTAATTTTCCCTATAAAGAGTGAGAATCATGTGGGTTATTCTCATAGGAACTGTATTCGGAATGGAACAGTCTTGAGGCGAGACATAAAAATATTATTGAATAACTGAAAACTAAATAGTTTTTGTCCACGTTCAAAATTTATTGGGTTTTTATTTCTAAGTCCATTTGTTTATTCAACTTTACCTATAAACCTAATCATTATGACTTGTATCTTTAAACCCAATTCTCTTTTTGTATGTCTTTAAACTCAATTTCCAAAATACAATACTTAAAGCACTTGTATTTATACAAAAACATGGTAAAAATTCCAAAATACCCCTTTCATTAGCCCCATATAAACCAATATCTCTCTCTCTCTCCTCATTTCACCCCTTTTCAACTCTCAGCCCTAATTGAAAAACCGAAAATCCCCATTCTCATGACCGTCGCCGTTGCCGTCGCCCGCCGCCGT